AGCAAGCAGCAGTTGATGGTGCAGAAGTTCAGGGCAACCTTTTTCTATCTCCGGAATGGGGTGATCATTTGAATGTGAATGGAGTTGAGATTTACAAAGATACAGCATTGGCCACGATGCGAGAGGCGTGCTCATTCCATCAGCTGTCAACTTCTGGTGGAAAGAAACGTTGCTTTGAGAGGCTTTGGGCTTTGGGAGTTTCAGAAACGCCTTGAATTGCAGACAGCTTTGATTGCAGCAAAGGAAGCTGAAGCCTCCCAACAAGGCTTCCACGCCCTCAGCACTTGGCCGAGCCTCCATCTGAGGAGGAGCAACTTCTACATCAACTCGCTCATGTTCCATTCAAAGATTGGTGCCCAGCATGTGTTGCACATAGATCACGGCAAGATCGACAGATGCGTAATGATGGTGTCAAAGCTGGAGAGGTTCCCACAGTATCATTTGATTTTGCATATACACGTGCAGTTGCAGCAGATGGCAATGTCTACAACACAGAGCAGGTCATTGCGCTGATACTTGTGGATTCTCAAACAAACTTCACTGGTTGCCTTCCCATTCAAGCGAAATCACAGTTTTATTTGATGGTGAGAGTTGGTCATTCAGAAAGTGTGTACCTGTGAACAACGAGCCCAGCATCAGACAAGTTCAACAACGTGCTGTGCGTGCTCGATTGGCATTGGGCTTGGCCACACGTGACAAAACCCCTGCAGCTTACAACCATGGAAACTCACCTTGCGAAAACACTGTGCAAAGGGTTAGAAGTTTGGCCGGGTCTTTGATGTACCATGTCCAGGAAAAGCTTTCACTGGAACTGAGCACAGACAACAGCATTTGGTCTTGGGCGATGAGGCATGCAAGCTGGCGTTTGAACAGGTATGCAGTTACACATGGATGCACACCCTACGAGCTGGTCTACTCAAAACCCTACAAGGGAAAACTTGCTGAGTTTGGTGAGCCGCTGTTCACCTATGTGCACACTAGCCACAAAGGAAATCCCAAATGGCAAAGAGTCCTAATGCTTGGCAAAACTGAGGGACAAGATACTTTTGTGGTTTACACTGGCAGCAGCGTGATGCTTTCAAGGAGTGTGAGGCGCATTCAAACAGACTGGAAATCACACCTTGGTTTCTACATTCACTTCGATACACCAACTTGGAGGTTCAAAGCTGGTTTTGGAGGACGTGTCATTCGCACAAAGCGCACGGTAGAACCCATTTCTGCTTCTCAACAACAGCCTCTGGGTCCGGTTTTGCCATCAGAGCTTCATGATGCTGATGGTGATGCAGCAAGAGAGAAAGCTGAAGAAGAGAAAAAGGGAGAGAAAGAAGCAAAAGCCATGGGCAGTGAGGACCCAATCAATGAGCTTTTACAGGGCATTCCAAACACAGTGCCTGGCGAAGTTGCAGAAAACCCACAAAAGAATGCAGCAGATGTATTTGCAGCATCAACTACGAACGTGCGTGGTGAGGAGGGGCTTGACATAAGTTTTCTTGAAGAGATGGAACAAGAACTTGCAGATGATGATTTGTATGTGCCACGAACTCCTCTCCAAGATCTACCTCCACAACCTCCGAGTCCACGTGCTGCACCCACCAGTCGTGCTCATGATGAGACTGGTGATGAAGGACATGATGCAAAGAAAGCGAGAGTTGAAGAACAGAAGAAGCAGCGTATTGGAATGTTGCGTGAACTGCAGGAAAAGGTCATCAGAACAGTGAAAATTGGTGACGATGAATATCATACCCTGGATGATTACAGCAGTGAGCCTCAGTTGGATGCAGCTGATGATGATGGTGAAAAAGATGACATCTGGGGAGATGAGGAAACCTTGCAGTTTTCCAATGTTCCTAAAGAGCTTTGGTCGGATTCTCCCATCAACGTTGTTCCAGGACAACCTGAACTTTGGGTTGACAGACTTGCGGATGAGGTTGAGATTTTGAAGGTGAGATCGGTGGAACTCTCACAACAAGGTTCGTCTACGATTGGCGATTGAAAACATATGATGGTGACAACAGCTTGTTTAAAGGTGAAACAAAAGGCTGGATGCGACCTAGCAGATATGTTGCAAGGGAATTTGCAAATGACAAACGTGATGATGTGTATTCACCTGCAACTGGATGTCATACATCAAACCCTGTGCCAATTGTCTTTCTCCAGATGTTGAAACAGTTGGAGTCAAGCGAGCTGGACAAGGAAAACTATGGTGTCGTTCTAGCTGCACTCGACATCAAAGATGCCTTCTTGCAAGTGCCCCAGCAACAGGTTGTCTCAGTGAACTTACATGGAACCGAATACGTTGTGCTGCGCAACCTTCCTGGTCAAAGACTTGGTGCAAAAGCATGGTACTGGTATTTCAGAGAATATGTGACAAGCAGCATGAACTTTGAATGGTGTTCGGTTCAACCTTGTCTTGCAAAATGTGAAGGAAACGTTTTCATGGTGCACGTTGACGATTGCTCTTCACAGGTAGCCGAGAGTTTTGGACTCAGAAGTTTCTGCCAACGATGCAACAAAAGTTCAGTGTGAGTTACAAAATGCTTGGTGGAACAGGAACTGAGATCAACTTTCTGAAAAGACGGCTTGTGATGTTGAGCGATGGAATGATGAAAGTGCCAGGAACTTCAGCAGCAAAGGTGGTTGAGAAACATTTTGGTCATGCTCGTGTTCAGAAGGTGCCCTGTGACTCAGCCTCGCAACAGGAGGACAATTCGAAGCGTGATTGGACTTCTTCTTCTACCTTTCACGTGACAGGGTCGATATCATGTTTGGTGTCAAGGAGCTTGCGTCAGCTATGTCCTAACCATCCCTATGCTCAGTGCAAAGACTTCGAAAGCTGATCGGGCTCATCAAGCACACAGGTGACATTGGTGTCAAACTGCCGTTTCCAGAACATGGTGTTGGAAAGTTCAAGCAGGGCACAGAAGCGTTTTGGCTTCTCGAGACCTACACAGATGCAGACTGGAGCTCAAACAAGGCACACAGGAGAAGCACTAGCTGCTCAATCCATTTTGTGACTGGATGTTTCGCCTACGGGTCAAGTCGTTCACAGAAGGTGATATCATTGTCATCGGCCGAAAGCGAGCTGCATAGCATGATTGGTGGTTGCTGCGATGGAATTTTCATCAGAAACTGTCTCCAATTCCTTCTTTCTGTTGATGTGGGGCACCATGAATTTACAGACAGGTCAGCGGCCCGACAATTGATTTCCAGACAGGGAGTTGGAAGGATCAGACGCCTTTCAGGAAAACTTCTGTGGATGCAGTCGAAGGTCATGGATGGAGATGTCATCATCCACCAGGTGCCAACTCTATGGAACTACAGTGATGTTGGAACGAAAAGCCTACCTCGCTCCAGGCTACTGTTTCTGCTTTGTGGTATTGGAATGGTGGAAACTGATACAGCTGAACTGCTTGGACTGGAAGAATACAACAATGTGGCAGAGCAAGAGACAAACAGAAGAGAGATCAGCAAGCTGGCAAAGACTTTGAAACGAATCGCATTATTCATGACAGTGCAGGGCCTGGGGCCGGTGGTTGCAGAAGGTGCTGAGACAAACGATTTGCAATGTCCCAGCACAAGCATCGAGGCGGTCGAGCGCTATGAACATTTTGGAATGTGGATTGTGATTTGCACTTTGCTGGTCTTTTGGTTTCTTTTTGCATACATGGCATGGTTTGAATGGGATTTGTACCACTGCTGGAACCAAGATGGGGATGAGGATAACTATATTGCCCAACAAGTTTCAAGGATCGATGGACTCAACAACCAGTTCATGATGATGGATGGACGTCTTACAGAAGCAAGCAATGAGGCGTCAATGAGTCATGATTACATAGTTGGACTTTATTATTCAGTCGTGGAACTGGGTGGATTCTTGCGTTTTCCGTTTGGAGTTGAACCAAACCAATTGATCTCCATGGGAACTCAGGACAGAGCCAATTTGGTAGCTTTCAATACCATGGGTTCAGGGCAATACCTCAACCTTGTGAGGCAACGTGCGTTTGTGGAAGCTGGAGAGACAAATGACTGCAAACCAGAATGCCGAAGAAACAACTGAAAGTGAGGAAGGCATGGAAATGAAATCACAGCAGCAGGGCCTTTACAAAACCCTGACATGACGAGCATGTTAGAGGAGTTGAAAATCGAGTTCAGGTTAGCTCTTCAAAGAGAGGAACCGCAGGATGCAGCGAGACTTCAACACATGATGTTACAAATGTTGGAGGACATCAGGAATGGAGTGACAGAGACGATGGTGGAAAATTACCGCAGAAGGATTGCAGATCTGTTCTTCCAACTGTCAGAGACAGCAACGAATCAGGGCAGACTGGAAAGTAGCCTATACTATGGCCGAAGATGCGCACACTTCAGAGGAGACGCATGAAAAAAATCTCAATGGATTTTTGCTGTGAACGTCCAGCAAAATCTATGCTGGATGTGCGCAGAAAATTCAAAAATGTGATGCGGCAAAGGGAACTCAGTGCTCCACATTGCCGAGGAGGAGTGCAAATCATTTTTGACAGCACTCTGCACAAGGATGACATGCACAAACCATGATGCGAAGTGTAACAAGTTTCATCCATTCACATGGAAAACCCATGTGCGTATCTTGCGGCCCATTGTGGTTCGAGAAAAGCGCGCTCCCGCTCACAGATGGTAATAATATTGACATGGCTAGTCCAGGACTTTTTTCAAACAAAACCGAGAACAAAGTATCAAAACTTCGCAACAACTCTTTGAACAATCAATGGTTTTCACACAAAGGCTAACCTGGAAATAAACGGACAAGCAGACAACATGCGCGCACTCATACAATCACAGTCCTTTACCTTGTATCATGCACGTGTAAACATATTTTTGATATTTTCGTTGATACATCGTTGGTTTTGTTTTGAGATCATGCGCTTCATGTTGATTTGGAAATACACAGTTTTCCTGCACGTAATTTTTGTTTAAATTTCGAACAATGCGAGTGAACACGGTTCATTTTTTGTGGGCAAGGGCGGGTGCCGAGACAAACGATACCTTTTGTGCCATGGATGGCAATTATGTCTGAACGACTTGCAGCTGTACTTGTACTTTGGCAAAGAGATGTAAAGGGTTGTACTGTAGCTTGTACTGGTACGTATTTGCATGTTTGACGGACATGATTGACTTGCCACTCCGAAATGTTTGTTTATCAGTCAAGGCCAGATGCGAAAAAATTCAACGAGGGGCTGCGACTTGTCGTAAATGTAGCGATTCCAGGCTGGGTTCACTGTGTCTTTGAGTTGGACTAAGGAGAACTTGTCGAACCTCCCAGAGCATTTAGCGGAGCGGCTCAAAGTCTTGTACTCCAAGTGTGAGAGGCTTTGGGCTTTGATGTGAACTTAGGGCAATTTGTTTTGGGTTGTTTTTTTCATGTTTTGGGTTGCTTTTCATGTACAGGTTGAAACATGAAAAAGAACAACTCAGACCTTCAGAAGTGGTGATTTTGGACGAGGATCCTGAGGCCAGCATATTGTGTTGGGCGGTGAGAGTGCCTCTGCTGAGCTGGCTGGGCTCACCGACTTTTCCAAGATCCCAGGATGATCAATGTGATGATTGTGATGATAACGACACTGCAATTTCAGCTGGAGAAGGCTGGTCGCTCAGTGAATTTGGATTTTCAAACAGTTTGGGGCATTTTGAGACATGGAATCATGGAAGGATTTTCACAAAAAACAAATCTTGTTGTCACAGAGGTCACATATGTATTCTTGATCAAACCGAAATGGTGTGTTTTTTCAATGCATTAGCTCCTGAAGCCGTCGGTTAGGAGTTGGAGGGTTTTTGCCAAGGCCCCTTGACATCTTTGACATTTGATGGCGAGAGGTGCAAATACCTGGTCATTTTCTAGAACTGCAGCTGCTCCAGTAGACGGATTCTTGAGTGTTGCAGGTTGGACACATACCTCAACGTTTGATACAATGTTAATGATTTCTGTCAGGATCCCCTCAGCAAAATGACACCGCCTGATCTCTTGCCAGGGAAGATGTAGCTATGAACTTTGGTCGCACTGCACATGACATACATGTGATGAAATCTCTGAAGCATCAACCCAGCTTGGTGAAAATGTCCAGATCGTGACTCTTGAGGACAGATCCCTATCTGGTTTGTGAGGCCGAGCAGGATCTTGAGGCTTCGGGTCTTGAGATATGTGTCATAAACGGTCATAATTTAGTCATAAAGTGCACAGAGTTTTCTCGTTTTTCATCGTTTTTCCGCAGTCGAGATTGCAGGCCCTTGGCTGGAAATCTGTCGAGCCTTCGGGCACCGCGTTGGTGGAGTCCCAGTTGCTTGGCCCTGAAAGCGAACATATTTTGAACGGTATGTCACAGTTGAGCCACTGTCGAATCACAGTTCCAGTCGCAGAATGCCGCAGAGAGTCATAGTCATAGAGTCATATAATGTCATATAGCCTCATGATATCTCATGATATCTCATGATATCTCATATAGATTTCATATAGAATCATAAAAAGTCACTTCAACTGGAACCAGGTGCAGTACTCTTCAGTGTGTTCAGGCCATCTCCCCAAGCTTCTCCAACTCAAGCCAGCGATGTGACGGATGTGTCTGGGCCAATTGAATAGCTAAGCAGCTAAGGTTTATGAATGTTTATGATGTATTGCATGATATTGCATGACATGTATGATATTTGTATGATGATGTCTCAGCTGAATCACATGTCAAACCATTTCCATCGATTTCCACCTGGTGACAAGGCCGATGAGACTATTGACATTCAGAAAGACCAGAGTGAGCCAAGCTCTGGCTGCGCAGCTTATCATTTAATTGTGAGCACACCGTGAATACACAAACATCAGTGGCAGTTGATTTCAGACATGCCAATGCTGCCAATGCGATCTTCATGCGATGTTCATAACATGTTCATATTTCATCCACGGAATCCACGTTCCATTTTGCCAATGACTTTGTTAATCTTTGTTCCATTGTGGCAGGCAACTGAGACCGAATGGACCGAATGGAACGACTTGCCCATTGGGACGGAATTTATGGCACAGGAGGTGCCCTATGTGGTGGAGCGAAAAGTGGGCCAAAGCCATGGGAGCGCCATCTATGCGATACGTTCTGCCACCGGTCCCTCAGCAAAATCATCTTGAAATGTTGCCAATTATCGACTCGATTCAAGTCATTCCAGTCGATTCAACTCTATTCGCTGCTGTGAAAAATCTGATTCAAGTCCGTAGTTTTCAAGGTGCTGGATTTATTGTGAAGATGTCTGCCCAGAACGAGCTCGCTTGTGCCAGGCCATCAGTAGATCTACTGCCAAGTTTAACAGTTTGGAAAAGTCTCACTGCACCGCAGCAATTTGGAATGAACACAGCTTTCTTTTTGATCTTTTTGTCCGGGGCCTGCCTAAATCCGTCCAAATACGAGGACTTTGATGTTGAAACGGGGGTGGAAAACTCTGCCCAACTTGACACATCGATTCAAACGGAGTGATGCGGTATGTATGCTGTATGCGTCTCTTTTGATATAATACTGTGTATATATATATGTACATAATGTAATGTAATGTAATGTAATGCAATGTAATGGTATGGTATGGCATTGCATGGCATGCCATGTACGTATGTACATATGTACGTATGTACGTATATGCATTTGTATTGTACTACAGAAGATGTTATAGCTGTTTGTATTTTGATCTGTCGCGGAGATGGTGAGGCTCCTCACAAAGCATGGTGAACTGCAACGGGTGAAGCTGGAGCACATAACTCTGGAGCGGCAGTCTGCTTGCCAGTTTCAGCGTGGGTTTCCAGTGTTTCAATCAGTTTTGTGTCCTTCGACATCACTGGATGCTGTAAATTTTATGGCTTTGGACTCCAGAATTCTCCTGTCTCTGGCAGTCAGGACATTTTCGAGGCATCGGCCTTCATTCAGACCTTGACCCAAGTGATCTCTGACTTCGCTGCTTCGTCAGCTTCGTCTCCCTCTGCCTCAGCTCCCTCCGCTCCCGCCGCTCTGCCTGTTCCGTGACTCGGCGATCCAAAATGATATGGCAGATATGGAATCAGAGAAAAGTGGGCATCAGAGCGATTCTACTTGGCGATTAGAATAGCGATGAAAAGTGGGCATAACTACTTGGCCTTTGTGGGCGAGACAATGCCATCAGCTTTTGAGAATTTGGGTGAGACCTGAGGCTTGAAGATCCTTCAAAGCACCTGAGCTGAGACGGCTTGACGAAGTGTCAGAGAGATCTTGAATGATCTTGGGATTCCAAAAAAGATGTGGAAATCATCTAGAGATCGTCTAGATTGACAAGGCGACCAATTTTGCAGAGGGATGAAGACAACGAAGAGCCCTCTTCTAAACTCAGAACGAGACAAGTAATTTGAATGAGCCGAGTACCTGCCATGCCAATCCTGAGCAGCTGAGTACAAATCGGGCACGCCCTCAATGACTGCAGTCCAAACGTTTCCAAATATGCACATGGAAAATCATGGAAATGCCAGGTTCAGCCAAGTGCCACACAGGGGTACCAAGTACCGTAGCTACAAAGTGCCCCAGGCCACCCATGCTGGTGCCGACCACATCCACACCACAACCCGACCAGTCCATTTTCAAAGTCCTGCTACCTAGCGGCATCTTCAGGAAATGTATGAGGGCAGGATAGGGCAGGAATATGAGGAATGGCTGAAAATCGGTTTTTGAAGTTCCCAAGAGCATCTCTCTTTTGATGGCCAAAAAATACTCCAAAGAGATAGACATGCTACCCAAATAAACCACAATAGAGACCACATCTCAAGGCTGGTGATGTAATCAGAGGCCCCTGTACATTCCTATACTGCAACACTGTATTTGATTGATTATATATACATATATACTACGGACACTATAAACCTGCAGCTACCTTCGCCACAGGTTTTCCGCGAAGCAGACAGGGGCAGAGACAGCTGCAGCCAAAGCAGCTGGTGACCCTGTTGCTGTTGGGGCCAGTCATAACAGTGGCCTATCCTGTTTGGCATGTTGGGGCCGCGTCAAGCTTGGGGCCACGTTAGGGTGGCACCTCAAAATTGCTACATCATGACATCGACCATTTTGATTGAGTTGATTTGAATCCAAATTCGATTTTCCTTATTTTGGCTTTTCGTCTTCCGTATTTTGTGTTTGTAAAGTACCCGTGATGCATCTCCCGTTGGGTCGCCCCAGGTCTCCACGAAACAACACTGCCGCCAGTGCCGCCAGTGCCAGTGCCTGCAGAACCAGATCCAGCTGCTCCAGCTCCAGCTGCTCCAGCGCTGCCAGAGACGGCTGCCGAAATTTCCAAACACTCTGACTCTGCTGACTCTGCTGTCGCTGTCACTCTGGCACCGGCGTTTCCCAAGATGCCTGCACTCGTCAGAGGCTCGGAAAACGCTGTGCAACTGGCCATCCAAAATGGACACACAACATGTCACAACATCTCACAATATAATATATATTAATATATTACAATATATTACAATACATTCTAATACTATAGAGATACGAACTGTATTCACCAGCCGAGATGACCTGTGGCGATGGGTGTGACTCATTTGAGCATGCCAAGGCTGCGAGTCACTCTAAAGCCAAGCCTCAGGCACGTTTTGGATCGTTTCGGCACTTGTACCCTCTGGGACCATCAAAGTCTGCCATCGAGTCCTGTAGCACTGCCATGCAGCGCCTGAACGTTGACTATTGGACGGGATTGAGATCATATATGGCATACATGATATATATATATATATGTGGAGCTATTGACATCAAGTTTCTGGAGATGTTTGATGCGTGACCTTTGATTTTACCATACTCAATTATTTACTCTACAGAGTCATGTAGCTTAAGTTGTCAGGAGCTGCCACAGTCACTGTCCACAATGCTTGGAAACTATGCAGAAGAGGAGGTTTGCCAAAAGCTTTGATGTAAGTCTCAGAGAGAATCAAGGCAATACTCTGCTAAGATTCACGACTAGAATCAACTAGATGCGTCAGGACAGTCCTGAAACAAAGCCGACGCCGGAAACCGACCAAGTCCAGGACAGATGGAGGTTTGATTCGGTTTGATTCGGTTTGTGTCAGAAGGTCAAGGTATGCTCGGTATGCTCGGTATGTTTTTTTCCAGGACCTTGCGGAGTTCCACCTGCCCAAAGCCCAAACTGCCTTCGGGGCCAAAATCCGCGCAGCAGCTCGCATGGCCAAAGCCGCGGTCCTCCCAGAGAAGGCGAAGGTCGGAGGTCCAGGTTGCGTCCCACTGACGCGTTAGTGTTAAAAAAAAAATATATATAATATAATTATAATATATGTAATATATTGTAAACGTACATGTCATACATGTATTGTAAACACACACATATATATATATAAGCTCTATTATGTATACATATACTGTATTATATTCTTGGGATGCATTTAGTATAACCTAACTTCTCGATATATTTTCCAAACTTCGGGAGCTGCTTTGGGTCAAAGGTCAAGAGCAGACACTCAGAGTGTACAATCGAGTAGCAGTTTTCATAAGTTTTCATGGTCATGACTGTTTCAGACGGTTTCAGGACTGTCTTCAAACTCTTCAAACATTTCTTCATTAAAAAAAAAAATCTTGATTTCTTCATGTCTCAGGCACCCGAGGAAAGTGCGGAGCCGTTGGCCTCAGTGGATCCGGTACCTGGCGAAGGGGTGGAAGGAGTGGAAGGAGTGGAAGGAGTGAGGGCGTTACGACGCGCGTCTGGTGTGTTTCCATGTTCCGGACAAGTTGCGGCCGAACCCAAAAAATGACTCCTATCGGTCCTATCCCAATCCCATTTCCAAACTTGCACGGATTGTTTTTTTTCCAGGTTTTTGCAGGTTTTTGCACTTCGAAGGAGAGGACAGTTGAGTGAGCGGTGATCAACATATTGTTGCATTTGCAATGCAAGTTGTCATCGGAGTCTTGACAGGAGCAGTGCAAACCTGGGATCCAGCCACTGGGCAGTTCATCACAGAAGAGTTGCGCGCTTAGAAAACCAAGAGATTGGTGGATGTTGCAGCCACCAAGTTTTAACTTTTTGAATGGGCACAGTGGGCACAGATTCAATTCTTTGTCTCTCAGTCTTCTCTGTTTAGGCATTCTGTTGAAACTTGGTAGCTGGTAACCCTGCACGAAGGATTCCTTCAGAGATTGCCGAGGAGTTCAAGCGCAAACCTGACTTGAACTTGGAGGTGTCGAATGTCTAGATTAATTTCTTTCTCGTCGGAATTGGGTTTTATCGACAGATCAGTTTTCTTCTTTGTTGATCTTTGTTTGCTTTTCCGCTCAGTTTTCACTTACGACTAGGACTACCAACAGCGTGTGTTGTTGGCCCAGTTGCACGACAAGAAACGACGACTGCAGAAGCTTGTCTGGCAAGACTTGTGCATTCCCTGAGCAATCTTAATCCAACATGATCCAACAAAGCCTTGGTTTCTGCACAAGCCTCCGATCCACACTAGCTTTGGTCCTGCATCTGAGGCAACAGCAAGAAGAGCGGGAACGTCAGCGTCGAAAACTGGAAAGAGAGGCAACCTGATGGCATCTGACCATGGGGAATATGCAGATTGAATATGCATCTGTCTGAATGTCTGGCGGGTTTTGGAATTTTGAGAGGCCTTCCAAGGTTGGACCGGATTGTAATTCGGCTGTTTGTCGTTGGAAGATATCAAAGCACTTCTTCGCTTCATCTTTGTTTATCAAAGCTTGAAATTTTGTATACATTGTATACATTGTATACATTGTATACACTTCTAGAACAACTTGGGTGTGGCAGGAAGCTGAACGACAAAAAGAACTGGAGCAGCAGCGCTCAATCTCTGCGGTGTTGGAATCGTATGCTCAGGAGACAAATTTTGTTTGCGATGTCCTCGATATGAAGAGAATGAAGTATAATGATGTATAATGATGTATAATGTAGTAGGGTTCGAAAATTCTTACGGCTGACACCGGTTCTGTTTTGTTTCTCACGCGAGGAGATGGGTGAAGCTCCCAGAGCTCGCGAAGCTCTAAGCGAGCGCGAGCCCGTGGAAGTTGGGGCCGTGAGTGCAACGAACGCCAACGCCACGAACCTCCAAGCTGTGCAAGCGCAGTTCTTGTTGCAAGCCCAACAGCTCCAACAGCTCCAACAGTTCCAACAGTTCCAACAGCTCCAACAGTTGGCAGCCCAACATGCCATAGCCAGGCCGCCAGATCCAGCTGTGAGATTCTGGTGAAGCCTTCCTTTGAAAAAAGTTTCACCGAAAATCTGAGAAACCTTGGCGTTTTGGAGAAGTGATGGTTCGGCTCCAAACAGACGGGTTCAGTTCCAGGGTCCCCGTGGCCATGGCCAGGCCTGCTCCGGCTCCACTACTGGGCGTTGTACCTGACCCTGCAGCGGCGCATTTGGGGCTGGCATCACAGATCTATGCCTGGATGGCTCAAGCAGGCACAGCACGGGCAGCAGCCCGAAACAGTAAAGATACGTAAAGATACGTAAAGATACGTAAAGATTGAAATTCATTGGAATGATCTACAACAGATTGTTATATATTGTTATGATATACCAGTCTATCATGCATATCATGCACTGGAGACACATAATCAACATGATCGAAAAGTAAACGAGTCTTCTGCATGTTCCACGATGCTCAATGTCAGGCTGCTTTGGGTGGATGATTGGCGGGTTCAAATGCAAAAAGTGATGGGCAATCCTAAAGGAAGCAACTGCCTACCACAATACGAACAATACCAAGGCATCCAAGGCTCGTTCCCCCTGCCAGGTGGAATGTTTGCGCCTTCGGAGCCGTCAGCACCTTGCTAATTGTCGTGCCAGAGTGCACCTGTATTCTGACCTGAACATTGGCTGATCCCTGCTGTGTGCAGGGTGGATTCAGTATTTCTGGAGAAGGTTGATCCCTTGATGCTTCGATTTGATTCGATGATATTCAGATGAACTGCTGCCAACAGCTGCTGTCCTGCACTGTGGTTCTCACGGTCAAGCTGTGGACGTGGAGCATCGAGTCAACTTCGGAGATTGTGACATGTGAAAGCGAAACCGCAGCAACGGCTCTCTCCCAGCTATGCTTGACCTGCTTACAGGTATTGTAGCAAAGGCCTTTTGTCTTTCTCAGTGCTTCAGACGAAGTTGCCGGAGAATCAGGTGTTGCAGATCGACATTTTGGGCCCATCTCACATCTCCGTGGATGCACTTCCGAAGACGCTGCGAGCATCTGCGAGCAAGAAAAAAGTAGGAACCGACTCTTCTCTTTTGCACCACTGGCACCTGTGATTTGATCTGTCAAGCCACGTTCAGCCACGTCAAGCCATGTCAAGCCATGTCAAGCCGCATTAGCGTAGAGTTAAGACTTGCCACTCTGCAGCACCTGTGGCGCAAGACCAGTTCAGCTGAAGCCGAAGGTGGAGACAACTGCCATGCCTGACGTCACGAATTCTCCACATGTGGAAGACTTGGAGACCCCAATCTGTTCCTTTGGCCGCTCGCCTCCACAGGAAATCTCCATGATTTGAGGTCCATTTGAGGTACGTGGATGACTGGATAGCATGACTGACCAGATGACTGTTTGAACTGGTTTGAAATTGTTTGGCTAGAAACAACTAGAAGAGTAGTGAGTAGTTTCTCAGTACTTGCAATGTGTGGATGACACAGTAGTGGGTTGAGTGGAAAACATTGGACAACAGGCAGTTCTGGAAGTTCTGGAAGCAAATGATTTCTGATATTGGTCCTGTGTTGCCCGGCGCTGGTGGCGCCCAGGCTTGGACGTTGATGACAGGAACAACAGGGGCGTTCGCAGTGTGGCAATTGCAAGCAGCGACAGTGACGAGGAGCACGGTTTACTGTAATACATTTTAATACTGTATATGTTTATTATAGGTATATATATATAGTATATACATATATATATATATTTATGGCCCAGTGTCTGGTGGTCTCCCCCCCTCCCCCCCCGATGGTGATGGTCCCTATATGTATGTGGACATATATAAGATTATACAAGTATGTGTGTATCTATACATATGTATATATAAGTTATATATATATATATATACACATGTATGTACATGTATACACAAGTATGTATCTGTACATGTATATGTCTATGTATGCCCCCTGGGGGTGGGGGGGTGGGGGGGTGGGGGTGAAGAGGGGCCCTAGCGTCTACTTCAAGATCAGCTAAGGCGTCTTCCCCAATGACAGCACTTGTTTTACTCAGCCTGTTGCCGGTCCGTGCTTGTCTACAGGGTTACTCTATATACCTCTTGAGCCTTGAAGGGCGCATATAAATGTGCTCAATACTCATGCATGTACCTATGTAGGTATTAGGTCGAAACAAAAACACAGGCACAAATTCAAAAGCAATGAGTAGAGCACTACGCCTTGCCGTACCCAATTGGTATTAAGAGTATCTTCCTGACTTCTCTACACAATGGCAAATAGCAAAAGAAACCGGAGTTACGCAGTGGCTTCGAATTGAAAAACACGTGAAAGCAGCGAATGTCCTAAGGACATGTCGAAAAAGAACAGCGGATTCGCTAATTTTTCCAGTAGTGACCAATGGTGCTTCGCGCACGGTCTCTCCACAGGCAAAATGCCTCGCTCTACCGGTGAAAGTTCGAATTGAAAAGTTCGGGTTCGCAAGATTCAGAAATTCAGGTCATACGAAAAACAATTGACCAAATCACGAAATAAACGGAAATAGCGGATCTCCAAGGTTGCTCATTCAAGCAAACAATGGACTGAAATCGAAGTTGGTAAATTTTTGAAGTTCGCTCCATTCGGAGTGGTCTGCTCGCCGGATGATTCATGGAGATAAATGTATATAGTATCTCTATTTACAAGAGTCTCTATTTTACATTAAATTGAAGTTCAGACACTTGTGGCATTATCTCTATCTAAAAGAGTATATGCCATCTGTGTGAAATAAGTTGAACGCACAGAAAAACTGTACACGGCTTCTCATGCTGTGTTATCTTCAATTAAAGAAGTGTACACTCACTCATCGCCACTCACTTGATCTCCATGGTCTGGACGCTGAAGATGAGGATCCACCCCAACTAACGTTGCCCTGATACGTTGATGCTTGATCTTCATATGCCTTTCTTTTTTTCTCCTTCTGTCTTTCCTTTCTTGTATCAGCATACTGCTTCTTCTTGTAGGCCTGTTTGTAATGATGTCGTTCATTCCATGACATATCAGAAGGATCAAGATGGATAAGAATTGGATTGTGAGCATCACGATCATTTGGAGCAACCATAAAGATGTTGTGATCACCATGTAAGCAAGTTTCATTTACCTTGAAGTAAAATTCACCCACATAGTTCATGTGATCTTCATCCTCAAAGTCTTCTGGGTGTTCCTCACACATCAAACGTGAATGACCCCACTCAACAACTGTTAACATACAACAATCACCTTTACCAGTTGTCTTCTTCATGATCTCGTCGGTGTATGTTGCTGTTGTAATGCCATCCAAGTGCGTTGCAAGAAAATCCAAGTCACGATAACTGCAAGAAATAAAATGCTTGACCCTGATTGGAGGGCAAGTTGGATCAAAATTCTTGCGCATGGCTTGTGTTGCAACACCTACCATTCTGTTAATCCAGAATTGGATAAGGCTGTGTTGATATGTAGGGACACCTGGAGATTTTGGTGTGCTGTAATAGCATGCCTTGTTTCCATCACCTGCGATGAAGTCAACTTGATATCTGGCACACTCAAAAGCCATAACAGCTAAGCACTCACCAACAATCCCAGCAGAGTCTGATGCATACTTCTGTCCGACGTGATAAACGCACACACGTGTCATTCTCATCCTAGCTCTTGTCAAGTCAACAATCTCATCTGTATCTCGATCCTTGTCTTTCCCCAAGATACTTCAAAGATTGCCCATGAGACTTGTCGAACTCGTGTGTCGTTGTCATCTGTGTGATATCCAGCAATTTGCTTGATATAGCCATCCTTTCCAAGGCGAGCTGCCACCATCAAGTCATGATAGTCATTGAAGCAGGTTTTAAAGTCAACCTCGTCGAGTCTTTCTCTGTGAGGATACAATGAACCAGCCTCGCAATTCATGAAAAGATGTCCTCCAAAGTTCTTGATGACATTGATGAAGTAATTGTTGAACTGTGATTTGTTTTCATCAAATTTTTCATGATCCTCATCGATGGTGTAGTCAATGTGTGGAATGAATTGTTGAAATCTTTCTGGAACCGGGCATTTTTCAAATCTGTTTCTGCACCAGTTTCCCAAATTCCAAAACATTGCTGTTATCTGTGGAGAGGATCTGTATGGAAATTCAGCATCCTTGTACGTTGGGTCTGATAGGCCTCCACCTAAATACCTGTAAGCCAAGCTATGCAAGATCATACAGTAAGGCAAGACCTTGCGGTCCTCAACGTAATCTTGGAGTACCCTTGTGAGATTTCCAAAATCGTCATCAATCCTCTTTTCTGCTTCTTTTGAGGATCTTTCTGCTTTGTCTTGATGAAGAGGATGCATCCTTGGATCACTACAACCATATTCAATGCGCTGATTGAGTTCTTGTAATTCTAGTTGTGGATCCTGATTCTTGTGTCTGGCAATGTACTCAACCATCAACTGGTCATCTGTAAGATGGTACCAAAAATCATGATGTGGAGACATGGTCTTCCTGTACTTAACATGCCAAAACATATGTCGATGCTTCGAAGACGCTGGATAACCTTTGTTGTAAAATCCTGCCCATTCACCATGGTACCCATCTGAAAAACAATCCTTCAATCTTCGAAAAACTGAATCATCTTCGTTTCCAGTGATATCTTGACCATAGTAAAGTCGAACTGCAGGTTTCACTTCAGGAGCTGTCTCATCATCTTGAATGTCTGTCTTCTTCTCCCCTGATTCCTCCTTTTCTGAGGAGCGTTCAGGTGGAGCTGATTCCTCTTTCTCTGAAGAGCCTTCAGCTGGGACATGTGGCTCCTGTGTGTCTTTTTCTTCTTCTTTTTCTTCGTCAGCAATCTTCTCTTCTTCATCCTTTTCTTTCTCTTGTCCTTCTTCTGGTTTGACAAAACTTTCCTTGATCTTTCGTTGAACATTCTGATTGCACATACTGATCCATTTCAATGTACACTCAACCAATTTGTCATCATCAGTTTCCAAAATGATATGTTTGTCCTCAATGTTCAAACTTTCAATGGTATGCTTGTACTCAGGATCACCTGCGCCTGGTCTTTGAAGATCTGGAAGTGGAGTGGCTGGATCATCGTCCACCATATGAGGATCCTCTGCTCCAAAGAAATTTTCTGCGCCAAGGTGTTCATTGTCCTTGAGAACTTGGTCAATATCCAGTTTGAACTCATAGTACTTGTCGTAAGAGATCTCATAACCCATCATAGGTGCATACTGCTCCATAAATGTTGAAAAAGAAGCATCTGATAATGCTGACATCATCAACCATAATGAGAAGAAGCTTATGTCACCACGTTCAAGGGGTTGACCTCCTTCAAGATCATCTCCTGTGAGGATTGATTGGCCTGCGAGTGTAATATCATGGAGGATCTGTCTGTGCTCTGGTTTGAGTTGCCTGACTAAAACAGTCCCTGTCGATCTTCCATATTTCTTCGAGGATTTGCATCAGGTAATACCTCACTTTCTTGTTGTGGTTGTGTTTCCTCTCTTTCTTGAGAGCATACACCTTCTTCCTCTCTTTCCTGAGAGCCTGATGCTTTTTCCTCCTCTTTCCTGACAAAAACTTGTAGTCTTGGCAAAAACTCCAAATCATCTTCAGCATCATCATCATCGTGACCTTCCATGTCCACATTCTGTTGCTCTGATCCTGGGATGTGAGCGATCTTGTCCTTTCCAGCTACCCAGATGTAGCCATCGAGCTTTGTAGATGTGTGGAAGTCACCTGAACCGCATTCCCTGACCTTTGTCCTTGCTCTTGCAGATTGATGGAATGCTTCATGCTGAAAGAATTGATTGTAGGCATGTTCAACAAAGAATCTGTAGGATTGAGCTGTCAATTCCTTTCTTCTATCCACAAATTGTCGAAGCTTGTTCAAAGCAAAAACTGTGAAATGGCTGAAGCTAGCAGGTGCTTCATCTTCATACAGATCGATTGCCATGATCATCATTTTTGTGGAAAACGAGAAATGCCGTTCAGGTTCTGGGATGACTGTTCTCTTGTTCATGGGAACTGTAATTCCTTGAATAGTCATGTCATACCCATGTGTGTTCAA